TGCGTCAAAATTCCATTCTTCGAGTATTAAGCGATGCCATTGATCCTGTGCTACTGGAGGTGGCGCTTGATGACTTGATAGAAGACCTTGAATCGGGAGCGTTGGAGAAACTGTTTCCCGGACCAATTATAAATATTGACCGAGGACTCGGTAGTAACAATCAGAGAATGGTGATGACGGTAGTGTTAACCAGGAAACGGTATCCGTTTGATGAATATATGGGAAGGATTTTCATCGATGTTTTAAACGCTCTGGTTGAAGACCGGAAATTAGAAAAAAATTTCGACGATGTGAGTATTTGATTAGAATACATTGCTGTTATATATCAATTGGACACTATACTCAGGCGATGTTTTTCTTATTCCATTCTCGATATTAGAATATATACGATTCATTCTTTATGTTGGTGGTTCGACTGCTGAATCTTATTCGAGATTTGGTGCATCTTAATGAACTTTACGAATGTTTTGATCCCGGTGTTGTATTCTCGAACTCTATTGGACGTATGAAAGGGAAATATGTAGAAAATTTAACAGAACTTGAAAAAGCGTTAATTGATATTGGATTTGAAAAATTTGAAGGCAAGGCTCGAAAATTGGTCAAGGGTTTGAATGTATTCTTGTTTGAACTTTTTTTTTGCTTACAAAATCCTCTCTCGCGAACTCAGATCGGCAACAAGAATTAACAATGATAGTGCGAGAGATAGACAAAAACGTGGAAGGGGCTTACAGGAACCTCCATGTGGACATGGAAAGATGGAAGAAACAGAAAAGTACAATGAGTTTATTGCACATATTTTCAATGTAGGTGATTTTATTACCTTGTTCATTTTTTTTGTTCGCTTGATTTTATTTTTAGTCTTTTTCTTTCTGGTATAGTTTTGTAGCAATATCATTCCCGGTAATAGATTATTATTTTCTACAAGGGGATTTCCCATTTGGGAATTTAATGGTAATTAATTACCTGATTTCATTGCGTGTAATTCTTCCCACATTTTTTCGTACCATTTCGTCTTATAACCAAATTCCTTCAACAACAAATTAAAACAAATTAAATCTAGACAATAATTGGGGTAACTCTAAGTCTACTAACATCATTATGGTGCGGTTGGTTAAGAAATAGTTACATCCGAGCAATCAATTCTCACAAGAAAGCTATACCCGTTCACGCTGCTACGGCAATCAGCATAGAAGCATTGCAACGTTGGCTAAACAGAATTTCCGTAGTGAATCG